GATGCGGGTTTGGTTCCCCGGTCACTAAAAATTTTTTCTTCTTCCAAAATTTTTCGGGAGGCGGGTAATGTGGCCCGCTCCTGAAAAAGTGGCATAATATGGCCTTTTTCCTGAAAAAGGCGCCTAATTCGGCCTAAGCCTGAAAAAGACGCCTAATTCGGTCTGTGGTTGTCTGGTAAAATTTTTTCCGTCAAGTCAATATGGCCGGCGGCTAATGCGGCCGGGCGTCTGAGTTGGCCTGTCTGCGGCATTGCGGGTTATTACTCGACTCTCTAATCTCTATAGAGAGGAGTTCTCTTGGCAGAGGTCGCCCGTCCGGTGGTCGAGCATGTAGGGGTGCGAAATTTTGTAAGTGTTCGTGTGGCCCGTTATCAGCGCGGTCGAACATACCGCGCGCTAATCGGGCCACAAATTCCTTGATAGTTTCCATCCTAAGGTTCGCCGCGATGACGTCGTTCCGGACGTAGCGACCTGCACCGACGATGGTTCGTAGACATAGGTTCTGCTGAACCTGCAGCCGCTGCCTCTGCCGTTCGCTCAGGAGTGCGTATCAGGCCGGCGCGGCGTAGGTGATCTTCGTCCTAATGTATAGTTTATATATTTTAATTTTGGTTTTCAGTGGTAGTTTGGATGCCAGGACTGGACGGAGCGCCGACCGCGCACATCTGGCATTGCGGACGACGATGTCGACGTGCGCGGTCATGCGCAACATCCTGTCAATCCGGCACCCAAGGTAAGTCACGGCCTTTTCGTACGCAATCTCCTGGCCTCTAAGCGTCAACGGGGGCGGGAAGTTCCGGTAGCGGCGGGTGAGGAGGGCGGCCGTTTTCCCAACATTCACAGCCATCCTCCACTCATCCAGCCACGATGGCAGCAGGTCCAGCAGGCGCTGCATCTTGGCGACGGCGAGATGGGGGCTTCTGGACGAGGCGAAGTAGACGCTGTCGTCCGCATATAACGCCAGCTCCCCGTCGTCCTCCCATTCTCGTAGATGTCCAGCCAGTGTAGGGATGTCGATTTGTATGAGAACCAGTCTAATGGGGTATCAATAAAGCTATACTCGAAAGAGAGCCGCGCCCTGTGTACGATTTCACAACTCAATAACATCAAATTTGTACTATCACTCCCTCACGGTTTGCCCAATATCTTTATAAGACATACATTTATACATTTAGTTTATAAAGATTTTTAGCATATTTTACTGCTATCTACTAACATAAGATGAGCAATCAATCCATGCACGACCCCCAGTGTCGGCAAGGTAGTATCCAATAAGATCTCTTATCAGTTATCAGTTATCCTTATCAGTTATCATATACTTATCAGATAACACAAAGAAAATATTTTATGAATCAAACATTGAAAATAGACATTTTTATTTTTCATACAAATGTATTCAACTTATAAGATAATACTTATGCAACATTTTACACTAATTCCACTTATACACAAAGTGATTCTTTCGACCGGGGAACAAATCCTGGTCTCTAACTTTATTTTAATATTTCTTTAAATTAACAATGTTATTGGAAAGGTAATTTCAACCGGGGAACTGAACCCGGAAACATAATTTATATCTTAAAAATTCCCTATATGAATTTATTAAGAAAATATTACCAAGAAAAACGACGAACTAGTCCGGCATGGGAATCGAACCCAAGATCTTAAAATTATTAATTCGATATTTCTTTAAGATTTAACTAAGAGTTTTCTTATAAGATTATTATTGCTTGATAATTTAATTTTAGAAGCCATCTGTAATCGGTTAACTAATAAATTGAAATGTTTTTTATAGACGCGTCGATAACAAATCTTAATACATATCTTTTGAAAGAAACTACTAGGGTCGTTGAGTTCAATAGGGCGTTATTGCCCTTCTTGAAAATCAAGGCCACGGCACTCATAAATGTAGGTACGCCGCCGTGGGGGACGGAATTGAACAGCTGCTGAAGGACTTTCAGACCGACGACTCCTTTTCGACCCACTTTTAGAAGTTTTAATAAATCGCACTTTACACGTGTTTCCAGATTTAGCTTTTATTGGCGTTCCAGTTTTATGGCACTTATCATTTAAATACAAATATCTCTGTCCATTGATATAATAACAGAAATAACTAATTATTATAATTGAGAACAAAACAAAACAGTTCCAAGAACATTGTACGTTCCTACAGATCCTCTAATTTAAGCAACTATTCTGGAAACTAGCGTCCGTTCAAATCTCTACTCGTACTCTTTCATCGGCTATAACAACCCCGAACGTCGTTTTGTACCGAACTTGCAAATTTTTCACATTCATGTTTTTGTTGGGATATTTATAATATAAATCAAACGTTTTCCCTCTTATTTTTTTATAGCAGAGGGGGCAAACGAGCGTGTGGCTCACCTGATGGTAAGTGACTATCGCCGCCCATGAACAACTGCAACACCAGGGGAACCAGGGGAAATGCAGATGCGTTGCCGGCCTTTTAAAAAGGAGTAAGCTCTTTTCTTGAAGGTCCCTAAGTCTTAATTATTATTATTATTTTTCAAAGCAGCTGCAAGGCAGCTGGGAGTCCTTGCAAAGATGCGGCGATACTTCACGCCGGGACAGCTGCTTACTTTATATAAAGCGCAAGTCCGGTCGTGCATGGAGTATTGCTGCCATATATGGGCTGGTGCTGCAAAATGCCACCTAGCAGCTTCGGACTTAATAGAAAGGCGTGCTAAGAGGCTTATTTGTGACCCGAATTTGGTTAAAACCAATCTTACCAGCCTCGAACACAGACGTAAAGTAACCAGCCTTTCGGTTTTCTACAGGATGCATTTCGGAGAGTGTGCGCAGGAATTACATAATTTAATTCCACCCTCTCCCTTCCACCATCGGACAACCAGACGTTCGGCCAGTCTCCACCCTTTCGTTGTTGACTTACCACGCATTCGAACCAAACGGTTCGCCACGTCGTTCATCATGCGTACAGCAAAGGAGTGGAATAAGTTGCCAGCATCTGTCATTCCATCCGATTAGTGTGGGTGTCTTCTAAAATTCTGTCTGTCTGAAATTTCTTGCGTTTATACTTCACTGTTTTCTTTTTAATTTAAGATGTAAGAATTAAATGTCGTCAAAGTTATTTGTTCAAGTACAAAACTTAAAATTTACTTTGTTCACACTTTTTCGATACCGAATATTGATACTTAGCAGGTTTCAATTTTTTACCTTGGCCTTATGATCTACCTTGATGCCTATTTTTATATTAAGTATATTCAAATTCAAATCGTTTATTGCAATATATCTTCATACAGTTGGTGTTTACTTAGCTTCATGGTGTTTACGTAGTTTATCACTTATAGAACAAACATTTAGTACTAGCTATATTCCGCCAGCTGGCATGCAATGTCCATCACATTTTATTACTTTTATATTAAATTACTTAAACATAATCTAGTTAAAATTGGAGTTCACATGATACAAATCAAAAATAATAGCGATAAGTCAATTTAGATTAGTTAGATACAATTACATAAGTCAATTTAATTTAGGTATTGTGAGTCATGTAACAGTCAATTATTAAATTTCATATTTTTGTCTTCGAGATATTCTTTCACACTGTAGTATTAACTAGTAGTTATAATATAGTTATTAAGTAGTAGTTATTAACAGTTAAAAGTATTAAAAGTAGGTATTAACAAGAAATTGCTTCAATAGTAATTATATAGTATATTCCTTTTTCTTTTCTTTTTTTTTAACGTTACCTCCACACTAGGATTTTCTCCTGTATCGTGAGGGCAGTTTATATACATAAATTTCGCAATGACAAACATTCAGACCCGGAAGAATTATTTGTAGGCCGTACAAATACATGTTCCGTGCGGGATTTGAACCGGCGGTCCTTAGCGCTGCAACTCATTTCTAAGCCACTGCGCCATGAAGCCGTCAATTCAAGTACAAAACTTGAAATTTTAAATGTTTTTTTTATGTTTTAAAATAGTTTGTATTTTGTATAACAGCTACTAAGTTATTTTTTTTTAATTTTAAGTAAAAAATTTAAGTACATTGTTTCTAAGTTATTCACAAGTAGCCTAGGTTTTTTTTTTATGTGAGTGATAAAAATGGCATTTTCAGAACTTAATAACTCTTTCTTTTTATAGAATAAGGGTGACATACGATCAAGAAACGAGGAGGTATACCTGATGGTAAGTGTATACTGTGGCCCATAGACATCTACATTTATCTTCGGTTAAGAATCAAAATGCACATGCATTGTCACCCCTGAGCACTAATATGGTATGTCTCGTTTCCAACTCCGATTCTCTACACTCACCAAACGAAATTTATTTACGGTATTCTGTGAGGGATTGGTCCTGCCCCGGTCGAGGCGACCCATTCGTGCTACAACTACTAATATAGCTGCATGTGGTGGCTCTACCACGTCACTGGTAACTCAGGAACAGCAATATGTTTGTTTATGAAATTTGAGAAATATTAAATGAATCCTTTTTTTAGATTTATGAGGATTTGAATGTAGCTTAAAATAGTACGTTCAAATAATATAATACTTAAGGACACTGCCGGCGCGTCGCAATTTTCCTTTCGCAACTTGGCTGACACACACTCATGTGTTTAGATTATTGGTTTTATATATGACTTTTGCGTATTTGTCATGAAAATATTTCAATATTTTAAACACTTAGCGTCTTTTTGGGATGAAAGAGATAAAAATGAGTACTTAGGTGCAAATGGTATAGCAATCTCAATTAATAAATTAGCAAAACTCAAAATGTTGCTCTTGGCACGTTTCTTTTCTAGACCATCGATAGTTAAATATGTAGGATATGTAAGGTGACAAAACCATGTTATATAAAATTGATTACCCATAAAGAGAGTGTAGATAAGTGGGAAGTAAATTGGAGGCTAGACTGCATTTTTAAGTTTTACTTAAGGCAAGTTAGTGAAAACAAAAGAATAAGAAAAATGGGGCATAGAAACCATAATGTAGACTACTTTTGTAACACAAAATATACCTGTTTGTCCTGTGTTTAGTAATGTGCCATTTCCTGTGTTGTCCCAATATCCTCGAAACTGGAGAGGATCCAATGAGGACCATGAGGGGCATCGTTGTACGGATATTGCTATTGGCGATTGTGATGCTCTAAGTTTTGAAATTTGTTCAGCTGTAAACATAAAAAAGTGTTTCTAAAACATTTTCACAACTAGTTTTTGCGCTAAGATTTATTATGATGTTGCAGTTTACCTAATTTATAAAAAAATTATGTTTATTTGTATGTATTTTATGCGCTGCCATACGGTTTATTCAGATTACGGTAAAACTTTGTCAACTTATTGCTTGCACTTGGGAGAAGGTTATAGGCATAGTACAATTCACTTACAGTAGGTGGCGCACGTATCGTACCGACAAATTTATTTGAAAGTTATATTCGATTCAACTTCAATGAATTTATTGTCATCCTTAGTTAAACTATATAACTCTTCCAAATTTATACTACACTTCCACAATTATATCTAGTTTATTAAAGAAAAATGGTAGAACATACATAATATTAAATTAAAATTAAAAACATATATTAATTTCTTACATGGTAATTTACTATTAATATAATAAACCAAGAAAATACTTATATCATTGCCACAATAACATTGTCGACAAATGCTTTAATTACGGCGTAAAAGAATATACAACTCTTAATTATTATCTAATGTGGATGTCCTAAGAGGCAACACAGGAGAATGAAATAGGAGATGGGCAGCATATACTTCTATAGATAACGACTCAAACTAATAAGGAACTGCGGGAAGCTACCCTACTGTCAAGCAAGGCAACTATAACAAATATCCCGTCTATGAGGCAATCTACGGGGGAAGCCTATGACCAATAGTGAAGTTTTTTTTTTATAGAAGGGTAACAAACGAGCACACAGTCCACCTGATGGTAAGTGGTTGCTGTGGACCATAGACATCTACATCTATCCTCGATTACGTATCAAAATACAGATGCGTTGTCACCCGTGAGGACTAAGATGGGATGCCTCGTTTCCAGTAAAAATGGTCTCCGGTTCTCTACACTTACCATACGAAACACAGTAGCGTTAAGCTGCTATTTTACGCTGGTATTCTGTGAGAGCGTGGTCCTTCCCCGGTCGAGCCGACCCATTCGTGGTACAAATATACCGCTAATATAGCTGCAGCATGGCTCTACCACGTAAAACGTAGAGTTTTGATAGCCTATAATAAAAATAATGAATGACCATCCTTTCTTGCTCGTTTATTCATCTCTATTTAATTCGTACCTATTATATTAAATGCAAAACTTCAAGTTTGTGTTTAGACGACATTTTAGGTCTTTTAAGTACACAATAAAAATAAAATTTAGTACACAACAATCATGTAAAAATAATTACAAAATAAAAAATATATAGTTTTATACAAGTTAAATATTTATTTATGTAAAATAAATTAAAAAAATATATAGATGAGTTAGGTAATTTTTGCTCTTCTACACGTTATTTTTCTATTAATCCCTATTATTTCTTATATTTTGTGTTTTGCTTACATAAAGTCTCATCCTAGAATAGACAGTCTGATCACATAATAAATAATAACACTAATATAGCAACTTTTACTTAAATATTTGCATTATTAGCCTAATGATCATCGGTGCGTTGTGCTGAAAAGAAGTGTTGCGGGTACCAGCTGCAGCTCATGTGAGCGTCCCATTTAATGCGTTCATAGAGAATAAATATCTCAGAATAAATCACTACGTTTTAAATGCGTTCGACTTCGACCGACACGTACGGTTAATATATGTTGGATTGAATAAATTTTGACTACGGTAAAATACGTAAACGTATGTTACCGTAGTCAAAAACGAAATTCAAACTTTTTTCTTTTCGTTTTCGTAATTTTTCTGTTTCTGTTTCTTAACTTGTATGTATTTATGTGTGTAGTAGATTTTTTTCACCCGACTTCAAAAAAGGAGGAGGATGTCAATAATTAAAATAGATTGTTAGTATGTTAGTAAACCGATTTTAATGATTCATAAATTGGGAATAAAGTTCGATTCTAAGGGTGAAAAATTAGGGAATGAGGTTTTCATTGTAACTATTCGAAATTTTGATAATCCTTAGATGTCAAAAGAGTCAAGAATTTTTAATTAAATAAATTAGTAGTATAGTAGTATTAATTAAATAAGTTAGTAAAATACATTTTTAAAAACAAGCTTTTATTTAAATGCTCTAAAAAAAGAAAATTAACTCTGAATTAAATCAAACCCATCAATTTATTACATTACACAATTTATATGATATAAAAAGTTGTCGCGAGATTTACCTGTGTACATAAACAAGAATACAATATGTAACTTGTTATTGACATAAGTAGGCAATTCCAAGAAAACAAAAAATGTATTTTATAATATCGCCTTATTGAATTTAGAATAACGTCACTTTACCACAGAATAAAAATAATAGTACACTTTAGTTATAGTGTTTCGCTTTTCAACCCCTTTCATTTGATACCCATATCATATTATGGGTTAACGGGTTGCTGTGGAAATGATAAATCGCCATTTTGTAACGTCCGCCATATTGTATTAAAAACGGCGGCATTGTAATCGTGCATTGTCACGAGAACCAAACGTGCGTGCTAAATTTTAGCCCGATAGCTTCAGTTGAAGTGGGTAAAATATTGAATGCAAAATTCCAGGGCATAGAAGTACATGCCAGTAAAGTTAAATAAAAGCTTTAATAATTTAAAATAAAAAAGGTTTTTAAAAAAATAAAAATTGTATTTCAAAAACTAAGAACATGAAAAAAATACTTCTTTTATCAGAAATTTATTTTTATTATTTTCATTTCTTTGAAGTCTGCTTTTACTTTTTATTAAAAGTTTAATTTTTCCGGATCAATACGACTTACGTGGTCTATATTATATACCCAAGAAAGAAACGCTTTATTCTCAGTTACTTTTTCATTACACACAAATTTCATGTTTTCAAACACAGTTTTTATTGAAAACTATTCGTTCGGCAAAAGGAGGCTTAAAATTAAACAACCTACATTAATGGAAACATTGTTATTAAATTCTTATTTTAAGAAACGGTTGTTGGCATTACAGACATGCAAAACACCATAAGGGTGCTGTAAAAGTCGTGTAAAGTCGACTTTTACATATTTACATATGTATGCCATGGCTCTACCACGTATAAAATTATATAGCTGTTTATAATTTCATACGTGGTAGAGCCATGCTGCAGCTATATTAAGAGTATAACGTTTTTTAAAAGGAAAAGAAAAAAAAGAAAAAATAGTTGTAGCACGAATGAGTCGGCTCGACCGGGGAAGGACAACGCTTTCACAGAATACCAGCGTAAAATAGAAACTTAACACTGCTGTGTCGCATGGTGAGTGTAGAGAACTGGAGACCCTTTTTACTGGAAAAGAGGCATTTCATCTTAGTCCTCAGGGGTGTTAATTTTTTATTAAGAATAGATGTAGACGTGTATGGGTCACAGCAACCACTTACCATTAGGTTGACTGTGAGCTCGTTTGTCACTCTATCCTATAAAAAATATAATGTAATTTTAGAATTTAGTTTTAAACCATTCCCGGTCGTCTCAAGTATGCGTCAAGACTCAGCTATTCTCTTAAAACGTAAATAAAATTTGTGTTTATAGATGATAATATTATGAATACTTTTGGGTACTGATATAAATATGTATTGATAATAGATGGCGCTAGTGGTACTTAAAAACGCGATATCATTAGAGTAATCCGAAACATAGTAGTATTGTAATTCTCCAAACCCCGTCATTACCATCCTGATGGTAAGTGACTACTTATAAATTTTTTTATCTGTTCTCACTATGTAATAGTGTTGAATAGATTAATATTGCTTGACTAGTTCGTGTTGATATTGAAAGAGTTCATTGATTAATGTGCCACCAGGGCCAGGGTGGCGCCACTTGAAAGTGAGATTATTATATTTGACAGATTTCATAGCGGAGAAGATAATGCAGGCATCCACGATTTTTTCTGCCACCAGGGCGGCGCCACTAGAAACTGAGGTGTAATATTTGACTGATTCCATAGCGGGGAAGTTAATTTGTTCGCAAAATGTAAAGGTTATTGTTTCTTTCTATATATACTATTAGTAGCTATATTTTATATTAATAAGATAATAAGATTAAAAATAAATAAACCAAACCACAGATATTCATAAAAGTAGAAAAAATTAAAAAAAGTGCAAAAAAATTAAAGAGCAAACCACTGACGCATGGTTTTGTATATTAACATAATACTCTAGAAACTGATAAACTTTTATTTGAAACTTACTTCTTAATTAAATTACATTGTGTAACATAAAACTTTACCACGGTGTCAACTAGCGACATCTGGTGCCCATCAGCCCTCATTTGTTCGGAAAATGTAAATGTTAATGTGTCTTTCTGTACTATTTACATATATTGGTATTAATTAGATTAAAAATAAATAAACCAAATCAACAGATCATAAAAGTAGAAAATTAAAAAAAATTAAAGAGCAAACCACTGAGGCATTGTTTTCGGTATTCATAATATAATACTCTAGAAACTGATAAACTTTTATTAAAAACTAACTTCTCAATTAAATGACATTGTGTAACAAAAAACTTTGCCTCAGTGTCAACTAGCGACATCTGGTGAGCAGAAAATAACTAGCCCTCATTGGATGGAGATTCAGTTTTCACCCACTTCCAGATTCCAGACCAGATGTCTAAATAATCTAAAATATTGCTAACGTATTAAGAACAATGACAATACAGTAAGTTCATGATTATAATTTAACATTCGTACCAGAATCTAATCTCAAATCAGTGGACTGAAAACAAATAAAATTTTGGAGCATTATTACAGCAATATTAAGAAAATAATTAGAAATATTTATGAACTTTGGCCTCTCAATATATTTACAAAAGTTTTATGTATGTACACAAAAACAAAAATAGTTTTATTAAAAATAGTGATGTTCATTCTGTAAATATTAGTAACAAGCACAAGTTAGTTATATCAGCCAGTTACTCGGCGCCAAAGAGTCAGTAATTCCTTCATGGGGCAATAATTTGATAACAACCCCTAGGAATGAGCTGATTGCTAAATGCTTTCATAACAATTGTATAA